AAGTACTTGGTGTGGTCTTTGAGGTCCGTTTTTTCGGTGTCTTTCTCATGGAATTGGCGCCAACTCTTTGGCAACAGTTTCTCCAAATTGTGGCAAATGTCGAAATGAACCAAATTCTTGTCGATGGGGTTGTCTTTATTGCCTTTCGTCAGCAAACTGATGACATTCCCCACAATCAGAGTTATGACGAAACCAATGGTCGGCACGAAAAACGGACTCAAATGGTGAACCATATCAAAGCCTAATCAAAGCAATCATTAGTAAAATCACTAACAAATAGTTGATATAATATACCCGTCGGATAATATGGGGCCGGCTTATAGTGCGTGAGAGACGTGAGATTAGCGCCGGGATATAAGACGGATATGTTCTGAGCGGCACAGCCCTCAGTACTCGTGGGCAAGACGTCAAATAAGGATCGCTTGTCGACCACCGATCCCACAGTAATCCACAGACAAAAGGCCTGTCCGACAGCCATTCCCAGTCCACAGCCCCAGGAGTTGGCCCACGGGAAGAAGAGACCCAAACAGAAGAGGCCAAACATAGGGCCGTTGGACGCGCCGTAGAGCATGATTACGGCCTCGAAGATGCTCTTGACTTCCTTGAGGACAAACGCGCAGCCGATGGACGCGAAGCCGATGCCGACGGCCAAGAGTTTGGTCGCATAGACGCCCCAACGGCTGGGAATGCAAGTGAGCGCCTGTTTGGCGTAGTCGTCCCAAATGATGGACGCCATGGCGTTGAGACCGCTCGAGAGAGTGCTGAGAGAACTGCCGAAAATGCAGGCGACGAACACTCCCGTCATTCCCGGATAACTACAACAATAAGAATTAATTTAGACTTAATAGTAATTTCTTAACATTTTTATACTTGTATTCGTATTTTGTTATAATTTATACCAAATTTTACAATAAACTACTGAAGAACTATTGAGTTTGAGAACAAATTAGAGAAATAACTTACGTATTGCGGAAGATGTCGAGCACGAAGTACGGCAGCAACTGATCCGGTCGCGTGACTCTACCCGAGAGCATAGGGTCGCAGTCGTAATAGTGGGCGAACATCAGGACTCCGATGCAGACCGTCAGCGATATCATTGTCAGGAAGCCGGGGATCGCGAAGTAGAGCGCCTTTTTGGCCGACGCCAGAGTCGGCATACAGACCGCCCGCTGAACCATCAGCTGACTTGTGCTCAGAGTTCCGCACCAGAGGATCGTGAAGCCGATGAACATCACCCAAAAGGAGTTGTTGGAGTAGACATCGAAGGTCATGCTGTGGCGGAGGAAAGGGTGTGTTATTGGTTTGAATGCGAAGAGAATTGGTTTTTGAATTACTTCCAGAACTCGATGCGTCCGCCCAGGTAGGCCTTGTCGAAGGCCTTTGCCATTCCTCCCGCAACGTCCGCTCCCTTTGGGAAGTAAGGGTAGGTTTGAGTGGCCTTTCAGACATTTAAGAGTTGAATACAAACAGTGACGGCAACAGAGACTAAGCCGAAGACCATGACTGCGAACTGGAAAAAGTCGGTCCAAATGACGCCTTTGAGGCCTCCCATCGACGTATAAACGGTCACAACGAGACCCATGACTACAATACTGGACGGAATGGACATTTCGGTCACTATAGACAGCGCGACGGCCGGAGCGTAACTGTAATCGCGATTAATGAGAGATTGAATAAAAAGTTTAAAGAAATGCTTATAATTACAGTTCAACGCCAAAGAACGGGACCTGAAATACAGAAATAGCGTAAACATTAGTATCGCAATGAATGAGAGAGTGTTTGACGGCCTACCAGTGCCAAGAGGACGGACACGTTGCACATAACCCGAAGTTTGTGCGATTGGAAGCGCCGGTGAATGTATTCGTTGACGGAAATGAGTTTCATTTTGTAGTAAATGGGGATAAAGACCTCACAGGCGAGGGTGGCCGCCAGGAAGGCCGGAATCAATACGATCCAGAACTGAGTGCCCGTGTAGTAGACGGCCACCGGAATGCCGATGAATGACGTGCTGGACATAAAGCTGGCCAGTATTGAGATGCACACCGGCATAACCGACATGTGGTTCCCTCTAAACGCACGGAATATAAAATAATTTATTATGAATTCTGTAATATCTATGATAACCATATTCTGGGTCTAGAATTGTAGCTTTCAATTGTCCCTGCTATTATTTATAATTTATAATTCGTATAATTCATTATAAATCTACACTAATTAGAAATGATATGACAATTGAAAGAATATAATTTATGATCCAGGACATTGTTTTCTCAGGAAAGTTGTAATACCCTCTGAGGAACTCCTCTTCATCAGTGTTTTTGCGGTCTTTCCACGCGTAATAAAAGCCGATTATAGTGGACAACAACAGCATTCCCAGGAATACAAGATAATCGGCGACACCGAAGGATTCCGACATTTTTGACGATTAGATCTTTTTGTAGGAATTTACAGCAAATAAATAATATTTTGAAACTAATTTACAGACAATTAAATTGAAGGAATGCTAACAAATTAAATAACACAACAATTAGTGAAAGTGTTGGCAAAGAATTTGTTGATTTTCACATTTTTCGATAATTAGTATGAGATTCGCAATAAATCACAGAATATTATAATTATATTTAAAGGGTTTATATATATATATAATATTCGGTAATCTTGTGACGGACTTTTGAAGGCCATTAGTTGACTGATACAGCAAGGTGCAATCTGAACTGAATGCACCAACAGATCCATATCGTGTTTGTTTACATAATTATAATATAAATTGTTATCAGTTAAGAATTACGGTTTATGCAATCGTTTTATAAGTATATAAATTGTTATAAATTGGACTTTCCTTGAAATAAATTTTAGTATTTTTTAAATTACTTTTATTATGTGAAAGTAATATAAGTTTTATAAAAATATATGAATTGATAGTCTATTTGATGGAAATCAAGTGCAAATCAATTAGCAATTGAGGACTTTTAGTTAATTCATTTGTATATACAGAGTATATTTCATAAGAGTTAAAAGATTAATACTTCAGAGAATTTTCGCCAACGAAAGCCAATCGTTTGATAAAATGAACAAATTTTATCTAAAAGTTGTCAAAATTTTCATATTATCAAAAACACATGTAATTCACACTATGCATGTGTGGAGCCAAAAATGTGACCAAAGTTTGTGATGAAATACAGAATTAAAGCTAATAATATTATTTGTACTTTTTGTTTATAGTCTGTGTTTGACTTTATGGTGAATAATATTGTATAATAAATAGGAGCACTTTTCAAGTACATTAAGATCTAATGTAAATGTACCATGTTAGATCATTTATTCTATAGTAATAACACACGTAAACAATACATAATTTTTAAAATTAGTCTTTATTTTGACTCTTTTACTGAAAAATATTGTAAAGAATTCAAATCATTTGTATTTATAACTAATAAAATAATGACAATTATCATGATTACTTTTAAGCAATTATTTAATTTTAAAAATGCAGTATTACTTACAGTATTACTTGCAGTAGTAATCTTAAATGTTTTAAATGAATAAAATTAAGAAATACTGAAATATACGTTGAATTAATTAGAAGTGTTCATAATTGTTGTAATTTTAAACTATAAATATAAAGTAAATTGTTTTAATTTATAAAAATTTAGTTTTTAACTTTTAGTTTTTATTTTTAGAATAATAATGACATCTTATGAATTAATCATTTATCACGGTGAATTGAAAACTGGCAAAAATTTTAATTTTCTTGTAAACATTTCATAATACATCCGTATAAACTGTGGCTAAAAGCCTAACCCTGGTAAATATTTGGCACACATTAGATATAGATTATTAATTCTTTTAAAGGATATTATATTTTAGAAATATTATTATTGTTTATTAAAAATAAATTGTTATAATTTCTGTAATTACTAATAACTTATGACACGCCTAATGACTTATATTATATATTCTTATAATATTTTATGTTTTCTTATGATTTCGAATTAAATAATAAATTATTCATTTATATATTTTTAACGATTTATTGTCTACTTTAACATTAATACATATATTGCATGTAAATATTGCAT